GTGGGTGTCACAGGCGAGGAGCGGGACCCATCCCCAGGGCTGGGGGACGTGTCACTGGAGTTGAGGGCCAGCATGTAACGCTTGGTGACATCCTCCAGTGACGGCGGCTGTAGGGCAGGGAAGGATTTGACGGGGGGACGGGCGGCCTCCAGAGCGGGGTGCTGGGCATGGTGGCCAGCGTGCGGCTCGGGGACCGTGATGGGGACGAAGGTGGCAGGCTCGCTGGTGTGCCGTACGTGCTTGGTGGCCGGGCGGGCTCTGGCCATGGTGGCAGGCACCACCTGGTTCTCCTGGTGGGACACGCGGCCGCTGCGCTTCTTGGAGCTCCGGCGGGCGCCGCGCGGTGACAGCACCTCGGCCAGCTTGGGGTCAAAGCCGTAGCCGTGTCCAACACCCTGGGGACAGGCAGGGACAGCTCTCTGCTCCGAAAGGATGGGCTCGCTGCTGGACGGGGGGATGCTGCCCTCCAGCTCGCTGATGGCCTCGCCGGGTCCCTCAAAGGCGCCCGCCGGCAGCTCTCCTCCGCGGCGGCTGGGATCGCTCAGAGATTTCTTCTTGATGGTTTTCCCGTTGCCCTTCTCATCGATGACTTTATCCATGGCGCCGGGCTGGCTGACGATGGTCTGGATGAGGCTGCTGTAATCTCGCAGCCCGTCGCTGCAGAGCGACAGGTCGCTGCCTGCGCTGCCCGCGTGCCCGGCCAACGCGATGGCCGAGGGCTGCGGGATGCCGCCCTTGGAGCTCAATGAACCCAACAGGTTGCTGTCAACGGAGAAATTCTTCACGTCCTCCGTCACCGGACAACGCCGGTGGGGCATGGGGTCACTCAGGGAGCGGTAGGGCTCACCGGGACCCTCCCCGACGCCACTCTCCACCCCATTGATGCCCACCGAGGGGAATTTCCGCCGGCGCCGCAAGCTGCTGGGTGTGCTCGGGGTCTCTGACGGTGCTTGGGCCTTGCAGGCCAGAGCATCCTCTGCAGCCGAAGCAGGGGGTGGAAGTGGCTCGATGGCACTGTTGTCATGCAGCTGCCAGGTCTCGCGTAGATCCCCCAAGACCACCCCAGTGGGCCCTGGCTCTGGCTCAGTGACAATACCCTCGTCCGTCACGCTTGACTCGTGACCCAGCAGCTCCTCCACGGACTTCCTGCAAGAGACATTCTCCTCCAGCTCCACCTTCTTCAAACACTGCGTGCCCACTGGCTGCCCCCGAAGGGCCACGTCCATCCCCGCCATCGCTGCCACCTCCTCAGTTCCATCCACACCTCCGCTGTCCTTCTGCTCGGCCGCCAAGCCATAGTCCTGCTGGGAGCCCATCCTGCTGATCTTCTCAAAGACCTGCCTGGCCTCCTGGATGTACTGATCCTGGATGACCACGGGCAGCGCGTCCTCATCATCCCCCATCCTCCCACCGTCGTGGCTGCCAGCAGAGGCCAGGAGGAGCTCGGAGGAGCTCTGCTTCATGGCGCTCTGCAGGAAGAGCCGCCTCGTCCCCGATTTGTCTGAGCAGGTGAAGGACTTGGCGCGGCGCAACGTGGCCGTCAGGTCCTTCAGCGTGGGCCGTTCGCCCGGCGCCCAGCGGCCGGAGGGCTGAGCGGAGCCGCGGGTCCGAAGGTTGGATGCGGGGACGTCGTAGGCTGCGGCCTCGCCGATCCTCACCCCTTTTTTCTTCACCTTCAGCTCCGACAGGTCCGACTTGAGGAAGCTGAGCAGCGTCAAAGTCTCGGTGGCGATGTCAGGGTTGGATAAAGACTTGCGGTGCTCAGCGCGGTCTCCCACCGGCTGTAGAGCATCGCTCCCCAAATCCGCCCTCACCTTGGCCATGCCCGAAGGCAGCTTGGGCCGGGCTCGGATTTGGGGTTGCCCCCACGCCAACCCATCGTTCGGCCCCAAAGCGGGCGATCGGCGTCCTCCGTGCAATGCCCAGCAGCCTGCTGGCTGCTCCTCTTCCTTCAGCGTCTCGCTGCTGGCGTAGCGGCTCCCGACGGGGCTGCCGAAGGGCAGGAGGTTCACCTTGGCCACGCGGGCAACCACGGGACCGGCGGGGGCCAGCGGCTGCCTGCCGCCCGCTTTGCCCGGCGCCTCTCCGTCCCTCTCGGCCAAACGTTGGGCGCTTCGCCCTTCTCCTTCCGCACCCCGACGCGGCTCCTCCAGGCTGCGGGACGAGGAGGAAGAAGAAGAGGAGGAAGGAGGAGGAGGAGGAGGGTGGGTCGAGCTATGCCAGGAATGCGGGCCGGGCCCCGGCGGAGCTCCGCGGGCAGCGCGCAGCGCGGGGTGCGGGACGCGGCTGCGGGGCGGAGGCGGAGGGGGCTGCGATGCCCGTCCGGAGCCGCTCCCGGCTCCGCATCCCGGGGAGCGCCGTCCGTTCTCTCCGAAGAGTTTGCGCATCGCCGGGACGCTGGGCCAGCGCGGCGGCTCCGCGCTCAGCGCCGGCCCCCGAGGCGGTAGAGGAGGAGGAAGAGGAGGAGGAGGAGGAGGCGGCGGCGGCGGCGGCGTCCCGGCATGGGCCGGGCCCGGTGCTGGCTCCGGCTCGGCGAAGCGAAGGGAAAGCTGACGAACCGATGGGGCCAGGCTGCGGAACGCCCGACCCGGCGATTCGGCGTTCGGCGGCGGCGAAACTTTCCTAGCCGGGAACGAGAAGGAGGAGGAGGAGGAAGGCGGGGAGGAGGCGGGCAGCATTCGGCCCTGCAATGCCCCCCGGCCGCTGCCCCCCTCCGCCATTGTGTGCCCCCCCCGGGGCCGCCTCCGCCCGCCCCCCGCTGCCCCCCGGCACCGCCCGGCCCCGCTCCTCCTCCGGGCCGCCGCCGGCCTTCATCCCTCCCGCTTTGTTTTCTCTCTCTCTCTCTCTCTCTTTTTTTTTTTCCAGCTTTTTTTCCTCCCTCCCTCCCTCTTTTTTTTTTTTCCTTTTTCCCTCACCCCCTTCTTTTTTATTTGTTGCATTCAAATAAACTTTCCCCGAGAGGCGTGGTTTCCTCCTGCAGAGGGGGATGGTTGCAGGGCTGCGGATTGTCCTTTTTTTTTCCCCTTCTCTTTTTTTTTTTGGCAACGGCAGAAGGAGAGCAGGCCGAGCGATCACCCCCCGCATCTCTCCTCCCTCCCCATCCCTTCCTCCCTCTCCATCTCTCTCAACTTTTTTTTTGTTCTTTCTGCGAGGAAAACCCCATCAGGAGGTTAAAAGTCGGGGCTGAAGGCAGAGACCCTTTTCCTCCCCTCCCCCTTCCACTCCTCCCCCCCCCCCCCCCGCCCGAATTCCTCCTGCATTGCCCCATCCCCGACTTTCCACGAGCCCTGGCAGCGCTCTGCTCTGCTTAACGATGTTCTCGTGGCTTTTCAAGCCTCCAAAACGCTGCCAGCGCTCCGTGCTTGCAGGCACTGATCTCCATCTCCCAAGGGTTTATCGCGGAGGAAACGAAAATGAATGGGATAACCTCGATTTGCTCTGCTGTGGCACCACGGAAAGGACTCTGCTCTCTCTGTCGCAGGGGCACGGAAGCTTTCCAAGTGCCCCCAGTAGAGCCCTGAGCCCCGGGGTGGGGGTTCTGTCCCAATTCTCCCTTTCTTCCTGCCCCTCTGCCCCCGGGGCTGGGTGTCTCCACGCTGTCCCCTGGCATTTGGGATGTGGTTTAGGGAAGAGCTTTGTGTTTCTTCTGCTTTCGGTGCAGCAAGAGCTGCTCCTTGGGCTGCAAGTGAAGGAGACACGTCTCCAAGTGTTCCCCTTCCATCCCATCCCCCCAGGAGTTGCTGTGCCCATCACCTCGGCCTCTGGGCCTGGTGGCATTATAGGGTGACACCGCCACCACCACCGCATCCACACCGTGGATCTGAGAAGGAGCCATCAGACCCCAAGGCTGGGCAGACCAGAAGCCCATCAGCTGAGCTCCCGAGCACGCACACAGGATTGGCACTTCCACCTCCCAGACCTCTTTGTGGTGTATGGAGTGACCCTGCCCCAAACCTGCAGCGTCCCCACAGAGTCCCCAAATCACAGAGACCCCAAATCTCTCTCCTAGGCACTGAGCAGAGGTTACTGTCTGCTTGCACACCCCACAAAGGTATCCTGGGGGCATCTGAGCTCCTGGGGAAATACAGAATCTGCCCAGTTTTGCCTTTTTTGGACTTTCCTTGGCATCCTTTTGCCCAACTTTCCGTAGTCAGCCCTACATCCACTTGGCACAGGGTCTCGGGGTGCATCCTGCATCCCTCCACTCCCCTGCGCACACATTCCCCCAAACCCCAAAATCTGACGTCCTCTCCAAAACCCAAAAGATTTTGTGCACTCTCCGAAATCCGGAGATTTTTTTTTTTAATTTTTTTCTTTTTTTAATTTATTTTCGCCCTTTCCAAACCTGAAGACGTTGCGCCCTCTCCTGGGTCCGCGTGGTGTGGCCGAACGTGAGCGCAACGCCCTCCTCTGCTTCGTCTGGGGGAAACCTGGGGACAGCTGCGTCCCCTCCAACCACCCGTATTAATGCATCACGCGGCCTTGCGGGGATGGGAGACCCCAAAAACGCATTGGAAGAGATTTCATTGGCTACAAGCAAGGGGAACCCAAAGACCACCTCAAGTCCATCAAAGTCCACCCCAAATCCACCCCAAATCCGCCTCAAATCCAACCCAAGTCCACCTCAAGGCCACCCAAAGTCCACCTCAAGGCCACCTCAAGTCCACTCCAAAGCCACCTCAAGTCCCCCCCAAGGCCTCCCAAAGTCACCCAAGTCCACCCCAAATCCACCCCTGTCTCCTCCACTGCCTCCTGCATCCCAACCAAACACACCCTGTCCCAACTCTTAGCTCTTGCTTTGGCACAGAGCTCAAGATGCAGTGCATTGGGATTAACTGGGGAGCCTGGCTGCGTGGCTTTGCACAAGCATCCAGTCTGGAGGGCTGCTAATTGCTGAGATTGAAAGCAAATGGCTTCGATTGACTTAGATGTGACTGCTGCACACCAACACCTGTGAGGTACGCAGCACCCACAGATCGACACACATACAGGCACACACGTAACGTGGTGTGGATATTCGAGGTGTATTTTGAGTGGAGCGTATCTGAGCAGTGCTACGACCTTCCTCTGCTTGGCTGATGTATATATGGGTACATATGGCACCTGTACATTGTTGGGTACACACAGGAAAAAGGAGGGCGGGTTTATTCTATACGTCATCCTGGATGTTAAAGACATCAAAGCAGTGAGAGGTACATCCACAGTGCCCAGCGTCCTGGTGGCGATGGCTCAGCCTCCTCTGGATGATGTCCCGTGCAAACCACAGTGCTTTGATTCACTGGCTCAGCACTGTCACCCTGCAGAACGCACATCAGATGTGGGGTTCTGGGAGACAGGGGTGGCAGAGGATGCTGAGAGTCCAAGGACAGTGATGCTGGCATGTGCCTATCAGCCCGTGGCCATCGCCTGGGTGGGAATTGTGGCATTGGTGTCCCAGTTCCCTTCAGTCCCCCTTCCCAGTTCCTAGTGGTGCTCTCTTGCACCACTGGGCCCACATCTCTTGTTGGTCCAGTCCCATTTTGGGTTATGCCAGAGTTACCACTGAAATGTCCGTGACGTTGAACTTTTCCTCTCCTGGAGACATGGAAGTTCTATTGGTATTTGGGACCCCTGAACTGCTCCACAGTTTCACTGGGGAAAAACACAGAGCCACATTTCCCAGCCCCCAAAAAATCCTTCCCAGGGATGGTACAGGCCCATAAGATGAGGAGAAGCTTTGAACACTGGTCCCACCGGTAACATTTTCTGTGTTGGTGCCTCAGCCTCCACCAAAACTTGGCACGAAGCAGCTAAAACCAGGATGGCATTGTGTAATTGGTGAGAGCCAACAGACACCACGTGGGCTCTGTGCTGGGATGCTCTCCACACTGCTGTGGGCTGGAGACGGGATGGAAGTCAGTCTGGAGATGGTAGAATGATGGGATGGCTTGGGTTGGAAGAGACCTCTAAGATCATCTATTTCCAACCCATGAGGGCCCAGAGCCCCATCCAGCCTGGTCTCGAACAGCTCCAGGGATTGGGCACCCACAGCTCTCTGGGCGCATCCCCATCTCCTCACCATGCAGCTTCAACCCAAATTGCTCCATGCCCAGCCCCCGGTGGGGCCTCGTCCACCTAGGAGCCATAGGTGATGCAGTGGTCGTGCCGCCACTTGGAGCTCATCTTGTCCAGGAGATAGCGGGTGCTCTCACGAAACTTGCGTTGGGTGAAGTAGAAGAGGATGGGGTCGAGGACGCTGTTCATGCTGGCGAAGGGCCGCGTGCACTTGTAGGCAATGGCAAAAGCCTGCAGGGTCGGGCAGGGCAAGGTGGGTGAGGAGCGGACGATCAGGTAGATGGTCTTGGTGAGGTGGAAGGGGAAGAAGCTGATGGAGAAGACGATGACGACGATGATGATCATGCGCACGGCCTTGTCCTTCTTCTTGTGCACCGCCAAGCCGATCAGCTCATCTTTCTGGCACAGGATGCGGGCCATGCTGCAGTAGCAGGCCAGGATGGCTGCAAAGGGCAGCAGGAAACCGGTGATGGTCAACGTGATGCCATAGGGGAAGTAGGATGAGGAGCGGTCCGGAGGGCTCAGGTCGTAGCAGACAGTGCGATTCCTCTGCGTGCCGGTGGAGGCGAAGACGAAGGTGGGCAGGCACTGGGCGATGACGATGAACCACACCGCAGCACACACCAGCCACGTCAGCTTCTTTCCTTTCTTCTTGTGCCACGAGGCCAAGGGGTGGCAGATCCCCATGTAGCGCTGGACGCTGATGCAGGTGAGGAAGAGGATGCTGCCATGCAGGTTGGTGTAGAACTGGAAGCGGACGAATTTGCAGGTGAAGTCCCCGAAGGGCCAGTAATCCTTCTGGGTGTAGTTGTAGATGAGGAGAGGGAGGGAGCAGACGTAGAGCAGGTCGGCTGTGGCCAGGTTCAGCATGTAGATGGTGGTGCGGGTCAACGCCTTGCGGGCCAGCCAGATCTGCCCAATGACAACGGCGTTGAGTGGCAGCCCCAGTAGGAACACCACTGAGTAGACCAGGGGCAGCAGGACCTGCTTGAATTCCTCGTGGAAGGTGCACGAGTTCCTCCCAGCTGTGAAGTTGGCCATGCTGATGGTCCCCTCTTCACTGGGTGAAGTGCCTGTGAACGACAAATGGGGCAGTCAGTGGCTTGGCCATGTATGATGCACTCAGGATGAACCTGGACTGGCATGTGCAGCCCCATAGCCTCATCTGCCACCATCCCAAGGCAACACAGATCATAGAATCACAGAATCACAGAATCACTGAGGTTGGAAAAGACCTCTAGGATTCCCAAGCCCAACCCTAGCCCATCTCCACTGCTCCCACTGACCACAACCTTAATGCCACACCCCCACTGTCCTGAACATCCCCAGGGATCACAGAATCACAGAATGGTTTCGGTTGGAAGGGACCTCAAGGATCTCAAAGCTCCAATGCAGGGCCACCAACCTCCCCATTTCACAGCAGCCCAGGCTGCCCAGGGCCCCATCCAACCTGGCCTCCAACACCTCCAGGGATGGACGGGGCATCACAGCCTCTCTGGGCAGCTGTTCCAGCCCCTCACCACTCTCTCTCTAAACAACTTCCCCCTGACATCCAACCTCCAGCTGCCCTCCCTCAACTCCAAACCATTTCCCCTTGTCCTGCTGCCATCTCCCCTTGCACAGAGCTGACTCCCCTCCTGTCTGCAGGCTCCCTTGAGGCACTGCAGGCTGCACTGAGGTCACCCCGCAGCTTCTCTTCTCCATGCTCAACAAGCCCAGCTCCCTCAGCCTGTCTTTGTAGGGAGGTGCTGCAGCCCTCTGCTCATCTTTGTGGCTCCTCTGGACCCTCTCCAACAGCTCCCTGTCTTTCTTGTCCTGGGGGCTCCAGCCCTGGACGCAGTGCTGCAGATGGGGCCTCAGGAGGGCAGAGCAGAGGGGGACAATCACCTCCCTGTCCCTGCTGGCCACCCCTCTGCTGATGGAGCCCAGGATCCCGTTTGTTTTCTGAGCTGCAAGAACACACTGCTGGTTCATGTTAAGCTTTTCATCCATCACTCCCTGGGCAACTGTACCACTGCATCACCACTCCTTGACAGAATAAGTTTTCCCCAGCATCCAAGCTGACCCTCCTCTGGCACAACTGGAGGCTGTTCCCTCTTGTTCTATCGAATGATGGAATTTGGGGTCTGTTGGGTGGATGGGTGATGGCCCTTGGGGCACTGCAGTGGCCTTCATCACCACCCTGCGGTGCTGGCACTTTGCTGGGCAGGAAGAGCTGACGCAGAGGAAATTGCAGCATGGCCATTAGCAATGCAGTGAGCTCAGCCCACGTCCCTGCTCCTCTGCAGGGGGTGCCAAAGTCCCATGGCAGAGTCACCCGGTTGGGAAGCAGCAAGCAGTGCCTCCTGCAGCGGGACACAGAGGTGTTTTGTGGGCGCTTTCATCCAGCAACTGAGAGTGATGGCCAATTGGTGGTGGAAGGTTTTGTTTGGAACCCATCCCTCTGAGCTCTGGGCACTGGGGAGAGGCTTTCTGTAGGGGAATCACAGAATCACAGAATGGCTTGGGTTGGAAGGGAGCTCAAGGATCACGAAGCTCCAACCCCCCACCAATGCAGGGCCACCAACCTCCCCATCTCACAGCAGCCCAGGCTGCCCAGGGCCCCATCCAACCTGGCCTTGAACACCTCCAGGGATGAACGGGGCATCACAGCCTCTCTGGGCAGCTGTTCCAGCCCCTCACCACTCTCTGAGTAAAGAACAATGGGGATGGGGAAAAAAAGGGGAAGGGAAGATGTGCCCAGGACAGAAGGTGCAACCGCAGCTGGCTCTGCTGGGGGAGAGGGTTGCAACCCGACAAGTGAAAGGAGGAAATAAAGCACAACAAAAGGCAGCAACCATCCCCCTGCCCAACCCTGGCCACATCACTTTGCCTAGGTGTCACCTGGCACCTCTGATCCCCCTACACCCCACGGTGCCCCATGGCACCCACTGCCCAGCCCCAGCCACCTCCAACAGCCACTCCAGAGATGAAACACGCTGAATCCCCCTTGCCCTCACCCCTGCCCCAAGCCTCAGTGTAGAGTTGGGGTAGAGTGTGGAGCATAGGGCCGGGGTACCCACGCCTGTGCCCTCCCCAGGGATCCCCAGTCGGGCCTCACCCAGGGGATCACCACCATGGGAAATGGCCTGCAAAAGGAAGGGGGTGGGCTTGGGGAGCCCAGAGCACCTCCTACCTGCTGAGTTGCTCAGGGTGCTGGAGGTACTGGGCCCTGGACTCGCTCCAGGTCCTGGGTGCATCTGTAGCATCACTTCCCCTTCCACTCTGACGTGGCAGCCAAGCACCAAATGCGGAACAGGAACCAAGTGGCAGCGTGGGCACAGCACTGCATGCCAGGGTGGGCACAGCGTCCCCCAGACCCCAAAAAGCAAAATACAGGCACCAAGTGATATCTGAGAATGTGCCACCAGGATCAGCCCAGAAAGGGATCTGGGAACGTGACAGCAGTGACACCACGACTCAAGCACCCATGGGTGCCCCGGGCCACCTGCAAGGCTGCTAAAAGAAATAGTTAGAGCACTGAATATGTGCATATTTCTCCATCCTAATGCAATTACTGCATTGTTTCACCTCCCTTCCAGAGCAGGGAGCTTTGTCCAAGCTTGGCATGAGGACACTGCTGCAGCTGAGCATGTTTCGTGTTCTAAATTTGCCTCGTGCAGACGAATCAGATAGAAGAATCAGATGTTCCCTCTTACTGCTTTCAAGCAACTCGTTGCTTTTGCAAAAATAGGCCACAGATCCAAGTGAAACCCATTGGCACAGCGCTGATCCATGCTCCAGGCTGATGGCACAGACCAGTGGGCCAAGGAGTCAATAGGAAAATGGGTCAACAGGTCAGTGGGACAATGGGACAATGGGTCAGTGGCCTGATGGGGTGATGGGACAATGGGATAAAGGGTCAATGGGTCCATGGGACAACGGGACAATTGGACAATGGGTCAATGGGTCAATGGCCTGATGGGGTGATGGACCAATGGAATAAAGGGCCAATAGATCAATGGGCCAATGGATCAAAGGATCAATGGACTGATGGGGTGGTGGGACAATGGGATAACGGGTCCATGGGACAATGGGATAACGGGTCCATGGGACAACGGGACAATTGGACAATGGGTCAATGGGTCAATGGCCTGATGGGGTGATGGACCAATGGAATAATGGGCCAATAGGTCAATGGGCCAATGGATCAAAGGATCAATGGACTGATGGGGTGGTGGGACAATGGTCAGTGGGTCAGTGGGAGGATGGAACATTGGTTTGGGGTTTGTTTTTCCTGTGTTGACCCATGGAAATGGCTGTTAGATCTCCAGGAAGAATTCCCAAGAAAAAAATGTCCCTTGTAGGGTGCAGGGCTACATGCTCAAGGTTATGAGCATGGCCGGTGGTGGAACACTCCTGTCCTTAAAAAAAGCAGCCAAAAAATTGGTCACAAGGACATCAGTGGTCCTTGATGTCACAGTGATGGGCACAGGGTAAAACCCATGGGGAAATTAGGGCTCCAAGTGGGGAAAGGGCTGCCCTACGTTGAGCTGTGCAGGGTGCCGTGGGATTTATCACTGCATGGGAGGAGATAAGGGAAAGATAGGAAGGAGAAGTTGGAGGCTGTTGGGATGGTTTCTGGTTCTGCACCACGGTGGAAGTGAAATCTGCAGCTCAGCAGATCTGCAGCCCTCCACGGGTAAGATGGGGAAACCTCCATTTATCAAAGCCTGGAGACGAGGGGCATCGAGGAGGGTGATAAGGGATATGGGCATCACTCTATGGGCATCTCCTGTACGGTTTTGTGCCCCAGCAATAAAACAAACCCAGTCCATGGGCTCACGGGCACGAAGTTCCTCCCATGCACGAAATGCGCTCGCACGAAACCCAGCAAACCTGCACTGCGGGGGCAGGGATTAAGCAAAGCAGGTTGGAGAGATGTGAGAAGGGGAAAACACGTAGCTCGGGGCTGCCTGCCTGCTCTGCAAAACAACCCGTCCTCACGTCACCTTTTGGGACGCCACGGAGGTGCTTTCCTCCATGCAGCGGGATGGGGGCAAAGGGGATAAGGGCACTCCTGCACTGAGCTGCCAGGGCTCAGCTGGCAGCCTCCAGCCACGGAGGGGTTTGTGCAAACCCTGTGTTATTTACTCACAGACTCACGTATGCACCAGAGACCCACAATCCCACATCTGGACCCATCTGTTCACCCATGTGCATAAACATTCACAGACAAGCATATGTATACAAGCAGATCTATACCTCCTTGCATGTATGCACCCCTTTGCACATGGATATACCTCTCTACAAATCCAAACAAACACAGACGTGGCTCTGTAAGCACACGGACCCACATGCATGCAATGTATATACGTTACTCTCTACTTATAGATGAAAATGCATCTCCAAACACACGCAAACCTCTGTGCCTATCTCTGCAAACACATCTCCATGCACAACTGTATGGATCTCTGTGCCTATACACTGGAATCTATCTCTGTGCACACCTATACTGGTCTACACCTTTCCTGAGCAGGGCACCTCTATGCATAGACACCCAGAAATTTAAGCTCCTGGACACACATCTGTGTGCGCACACCCCTCTGTTCACGTATACCTACATCCCTGCATGTATGTAAATACATATACGTGTTGCCCTCACTGTCACCAATGTCCCCACACAGCCAGATCCCATTAGGAAAACACCTCCAGCTCCCAGCTTAGGGTGTAGGGCACAGCTGGGGAGCCCCGACTCGCTCCCTATAGGCGACAGATGTGATGGGCAGCTCTGGGCTGTGCCACCTCATGGACGTGGGACCCCCACCAAGTCCCCCGAGGAGCCTTGAGCCCACTCCTTAACCTCAACTCCCTCACTTGGGCTGCCCAGGATTCCAACCCACCATAGGCACTGCCCCAATGGGGCTGGGTGTTTGCTCAATGTCACCCCACGGCTCGATCCGCACCCCGATCCCATCCCGCCCCGTTCAGCCCCATCCTACCCGGGTCGGTGTGACACAGTCTGCTTGGATCCTACCCCGGTTTAGACCGGATCCGATCCTGTTGTTCAACCCGACCCCTCCCAGTTCTGCCTGCCTCATCCCGGCCTCACCTTGCCCGGCTCGGTTCGGCTCGGTTCGGTTCCACGCTTACCGGAGCGGGGATGCGCCGGGAACGAAGCAGCGATCGCAATGTGGGGCCGCCCCTCCGCTCTCCGCCCGCCCCGATCCGCCCTGGGGGCCGCCCCCCTCCGCCCCGCCCGGCCCGGGCACCTGTGGGGTGGGGAGGGGGTGGAGAGTGGGGAGGGGGCACAGCTGGATGGGGAGCGCACGGCTGGGTGGGGAGGCAAGGAATGGGGTGGCACATAGGGAATAGAATGGAACAGCTGGATGGGGAGGGCACAGCTGGATGAGGACACGGGGAAGGGGGTGGTGCATTTGGATTAGGATGGCACAGCTGGATGGGGAGGGCACAGCTGGAGGGGGACACGTCTGGATGGGGGTGCGGTACGATAGGGGATGCATCTGGGTGGCACGTAGTGGGATTGGGGTGGCAACGATGGAGGGGGCACAGCTGGACCGGGATGGCACAACTGATTGGGATGGCGCAGCTGGATGGGTGTGAGGAGGGGGTGGGATGGCACAGCTGGGTTCTCTGGGATGGTTGGAGGAGGGTAGAGTGGGATCGGGAGGGCACAGCTGGATTGGGAGGGCAAAATTGGAGGGGGCACAGCTGGGTGGCAGCACAGAAGGATGGAGAGAGTAGGACTGGGGGGCACAGCTGGATTAGGATGGCAGAGCTGCAGGGGACACAGCTGGGGGGGGCATAACTGAGGGGGATCATCTGGGTAGGGAAACAGCTGGATGAAAGTCATAGTTGGGTGGGGTAGAGCTGGATAAGGAAGAACATCTGGGTGGGGGCACAGCTGGGCAAGAGCACATCTGGATGTGGGTGGCACAGCTGGATGGAGATGTCACAGCAGATGGCATTGGCCCAGCTGGGAAGGGTTTTTAGAACTGGAGAGGGGGCAAATCTGGAGCTGGGGCACAGCTGGATGGCGTTTCACAGCTGGATGGAGAGGCACAGCTGGATGGAGTGGCACAGCTGGAGAAGGGGTCATCATTCCCACCTTGCAAATACCTGGATTGAACGGGGCATTGGGATGCTGCCAATTCCCCCCCCCCTCCACTCCCCAAACCAGGGTTTTCTGGATGGGGAAGAGGATGGGGAAGTTTCTGCCTCTGCTCACAGCTGGATTGCACCAGCCAACATCTGGATTGCTCCAGCTGCAGCAGGGCAGAGGGGTCGGTGCCTTCGCTACTCATTAACCAACCCATAGAGCTGCTGCACTTCCTGAGCAGGGCCATTAAAATGCAATAAGGAAAGGAGCCCAGGGGACGGCGTAGGTATGAAAGAACCGATCCAGAAAGAGCCTGAGGATACAGATCTTGCTTGGGATGCTAGGCTCAGCCCTTCCTTTCCATGGGATCTTGCGCTCGCTCTGCTTGGCCCTCTGAAATTATTGTGTTTTTCTCCTTCTTATGGGGTCCTGTTTTAATGGGGGGAAGGGACGATGGAGCACAACGCTGGGTGCTCCCCAGCATCGCCTCGTTGTGATGAATGGTTTGGGGTGTGGGCTTGGCTGTGGGGTAGGGGATGGGGAGACAGGGCGAGGTGCCTGCATCCCACTGGCGCCTGTATGGGCACGGACAAGGCAGGCTCTCATCGATCCTGGCACTGCAGCGCTGCAGGGAGATCACTTCTGGCAGGGGAAACGGTGGAGATGCGCAGCCACATCCGGGCTGGAGCCATCACCCCGGTCCTGGGGCTGCCCAGGCAGGTGGGGATGGGGTGGGGAGATGGCTCAGTGCCCCGGTGAAACTCCCAGCTGCTGCGGGGAGCAGGAAATTGGGGGGAGAAAAAGTGTCTGCCTGCGGAGCGGAGCAGCAAACACGCCTTGTGCAAACACGCCTGGCAGCATTCTGCAGAAAAGCAGGGCTTCCCCCTCGTGCCGCCGCGGGGAGATGGGGGAGATGAGGATGAGAAGGGACACAACTCACCTCTGTGATGAGCTGCTGGTGGCAGCACGTGTCCCACCTCTGGCTACGGAGCTGAATGTGAGCTGGGGAAGCGCTGCTGTCACCGCCTGGCCGGTGTCCTTGCAGGTGCCCAAGGTGAGCCTGGCGGCGGGGACACCGTAAATAGGGTGAGGAGAGACAAACAGTGAGAAGCAGCTGCTCCTGGCTGCTCACCAACCTCACCCCTCTGCCCCATCCAACCCGGCCCTGTGGCACCTGGGATAAAAGAGAGACAAAAAAATCTGCTGTTTTCAGAACTGAATGCTGGTTTTTTCGCCCTGATTTCAGCTGCTCGGTCAGGTGAGCTATTGGCAGAGCACGCGCCTGCAAGGATTCTAATTCTTCTCGCAAAACCAGAGGGTTCCTGGCTAATTTGGAAGAGAGTCAACAAGTTATGCAAAGCTTCTGGCTGCGTTTTGGGTCACGAGAAGAAATTTCCTCCTGGAGATGTCATTTTGTGACTACCAGCACATGGGCAGACGGGACGGATTTGGAGAGCACTGCACGTCCCCTTGGCAAAGGGGCAACGCTCTTCCTCCACCCCTCACCCCCCCCCCCCACATTTTGGGGCTGTAAGGAGAGAAACGGGAGTGTGAGCACTCTCTTTTCATGCAGGCAGAAGGGAGGGGAAGCTCTCTGGGAGGAGAAATTGGGGAAAGCAAACAGCTGCGCTGTTGGGCTCATCTTTGCTTGTTGCTAACCAATTGAATTAATCTTTGGCACAAAGGCCTGGTGCAGTGGCTGGGCTTGGCCTCACGAGACCTTCTGGCTGCCTGGTTCCTGCCCTCCATCTGCGTGCTGCCAGTAATTGCATTTACAATGCTTGCAGGCAAGCTGCGTCGCTGCCAGCTGCTTTTCTTGCCTGGCTTTGGGTGCTTATGCATCCAGGAGAGCTGCTGTGGGCAGGAGAAGTCTCCTTGGGTTGCCTCTCCTTGGGTGTCCCCTCCACGCTGTGTCCTCCCCACAGCAGCTGGCTGTGCCCTCATCCAGCTGTGCACCCATCCAGATAGCAGCCCCATCCCACTGTTTTGCAGTTAAGCTGCCCCCATCCAGCTGTGCCCCATCCAGCTGTGACCCTATCAAACCGTGCCCTCATTCAGCTGCGCACCCATCCAGTTGTGAACCGTCCAGCTGTGTCACAAACTGCCTGCACCCAGCTGTACCCCACCAATCAGTGCCCCATCCAGCTGTGCCCCCACCCAGCTGTGTCGGAAACCATCTGTCTTCTCCTCCATCCAACTGTTCCCCCATTCTTTTGTGTCCGAATCCAGCTGTGCTGGCATCCAGCTGTCCCCATCCACCCATGCCCCCATCCGGCTGTGTGCATCCAGCTGTGCCCTCATCCTTGTGTCCCACTCCATCTGTGCCCCCATCCAGCTGTGCCCCCACCCAGCTGCCCTCCCATCCAGATGCATTGCCTTCCAGCTGTTTTCCCATCTTCCTGTGCCTGAATCCAACTCTGCCCTCATCCTTTTGTGTCCGAATCCAGCTGTGCTGCCGTCCAGCTGTCCCCATCCACCCATGCCCCCATCCGGCTGTGTGCATCCAGCTGTGCCCTCATCCCTGTGTCCCACTCCACCTGTGCCTCCATCCGGCTCTGCCACCCCATCCAGCTGCTCCCCCTTTGGTTCCCCCCCCCCGCTCACCCAACTGCAGACAACTTGCGTGAGAAATCTAATTCCTAGAAGCTGTTTCAAGTGGAAATGACGCCAATTCCTTGTGTCCTTCTCCTGACACCGCCAGCCTGCCAGGTGGCAGACCTGCTCCTGCTTGCTAATGAAGTTTGATTTCTTCTTTCTCTCTGTTTTAACCATTTTCCAGCAATTTTCCCTTGCAGACACACAGACACCTGCTACCACAGCGAGAGCAGCCTGCAGTTGGGCAGCGTGGAGTCCCAGATGCCATTTTTTTTGCAGAGAAGGTGGCTTGGTGGAGATGGTCTCACCCCTTGAATCATAGAATCGTAGAACCAGAGGGTGTTTGGAGACAGAAGGGCCCCTAAAGGCCATCTGGTCCCACTCCTTGCAAAGCACAGAGACCCACAGCTCCATCAGTGCTCACTGCCCCATCCCCTGGCCTCTCTTGAACCCCACTCTGACAGTGTCCCATTGCTGAACCAACCCTCGCTGTGGTCGGACTGCTGCCCAGGACCAAGCAGAAGAAAACCTTCCCACAGCGCTCAGCCAAACCTCCAACCCCACTGCCAGATGTGTCCTGTTTTTGGGGCTCCGGTCCCCTTTCCTCACTGGACAGATGGGCTCCTGCTGCAGCCTTCAGCACCCGTTCAGCCAGGAAATCACGCCTTTGCTGGGAATTCAGACAAAAAAAACCCCTTGGTTTGACTCCAAGTGGGACCTGACCTACAAGTACGTGACACCACTATGCCTCAGCATTTCTCAAGAAGTGTGCTTCAGCCCTTTTTCCTCTCCAGCCTGTCTTCCTCCAGCCCTGCGGATATCAATGGGGGAGGAGGAAGGGAGAGCTGAGCATGAGGGTGATTAATGACTGCATCTCTGCTGGCTTCCTTTCCTTGAGCAAGCACACCAGGACATGCCTTGGAGACACAGGGTCACTTCCTCTCCTCTCTTCCATTTGTCCAGAAGTCCTAAAGGAGCTGATCGGGCATCGGTGCCTCTGGTTTTCACACTTGGGGGTGGAGATGTTATCAACACGTGGATGTGTGAACCTCTGCAGCCAACAAACCCCAGCACCCAGGGTACGTGGGGTCCTTTGGTGGAGTTTTCCATGGTTGGAATTCATTTTGGAGCCACCTGGGTTCTGGTGTCCCCAAAGGGAGGGGGCAGGAGGTCAAAGCACACACGACCTGCAGGTCCTGCTGCTATTTCCCATCCGGGAAGGATTTAAAATAACTTCCCCTCTGCTTGTGGCTGTTTCCTCGATGGCTTGTTTGCTTTGGCCATTAGGCCACAGGCAGGTCTCCAGCTGGAGAGTTCTCTTCAGGCAACGATTCCATGCGGGGTCAAAGGTTGGAAGCGTTGATGGAGGTGGGAAGCCACCATGCAGAAGAAGCACTGTTCCTCTCTGTGCACGTTTCTGGGGAACAACGAGCTATTTTAAGGTTGGGAACAGGTAATTTCATTTATGGCCCACCGCAATGGGTTCTGTGACCACGGCCCATCACC